AATAATTCCAAATTTTCAAAAATGAAAATATCATTAAACAATCCTAATTTTTAACATGAAAACAATTTGTCCAAATTTGCCTGTAAAGGGCACTTCATCTGGAATACTAGATTATTCTCTGAATTACAAATTGTCCACCTCACTTTATCTGTGAATAGGGAAGAGTAGCATCTCACCCATACAAGTCCTGGTATCAAATGGAACATGAACGGCAAAGTCTAGGCAAAACCTCTGAATTTAAATCCCTCTTATCAACCTGTGCTGACATATCTTGTAGGAGAGGGCAAATGAGCCATCGCTGTTGAACAGACCTTTTTTTTACATCAATAAAATTTAGTGGTACACCAAGGGGGTTCCATTAAAAGATTACATCTAACAAAAACTAAAACAAATAATCCAATGTGTCAGAACAGTATTGTACATTTGAGAGGTAGATATAGTCAACTAGCACAAGATGATATACAACATATCCACCTCCTCAACATGTAATATAGCATATATATCACAGTGTTATCAGCGTCTACTGACAGGAGCGCTATACTCGGGGCACTGTGACTGGCAGGTGATGCTACACACAGACTAGTGTCGCAAACATTGTATTGTTTTTTCTTCACTGATGTGACAGATGAGATAGCATCAGCAGAGAAGGGGCATATCTGTGTTGGCCCAACGGGTATCAACAGGGTAACAATCCCACTTCTAAAGAATAACTGACTTCAGCTTTCTTTTCCTTTTAATACAATGTTTTGCTACTAGAGCTGGTTACTTTACAAAGCGAGTGATGAATTTCAACTTCTTTATCCATTCAACATGTCATGGTACAGGCACTTAAGACTAAAAGATCCAACTCAAAAACAACCTGTATACTTGGTAAAAGCACCTATAGTGAAATGTATGTTGAAAGAATTGCCATGTCCACTGTCTCTGTTGATACAACAGCCCATAAAATGCAATTTAAGGAACCAACATCTCTGGTCCTTATCACCACATCAGGTGTCTTAGGCACACAAAAAAAATGTCCGTTTCCAGTTACCCGACCGACCCTATCCTAAATCACCACCACCCACACACTCCCCCTCCCCCCCGACTGGAGTGCATTTCAACTCACCATTTTCATCCAAATCAAGTATGATATTTGCATGTTTTACAGTGTACGTAGGCTAAAATAGACTGCATTGAATTGGCATAATGGGCTCTCACTGACAAAACCTGCAAATAATTTAACATAAATATTTATTTGACATAGAAATCTTTCAATATTTCGTCACAAGGCATTGTTACAACATGATATAGTATCATTGAAGACAGTCTCAGGTACCCACCTGGTTCTACTAAGAAATATAAAAAAAAACTTTAAAAAAAGATGAAATGACTATTTTAACAAAGCATGTAATAGGCAACGGACATATATTTTTTCTGGCCTTACCTACAGATGGGTTAGGTGGCGGGTAGAGAAGTATCAATAGGCTGCTAAGAGGTATACACAAGATTGACATGCCTGTTTAAGATGCTGCGTCAAAGTTAAGAGGGATAATGTTAGTTACGAGATTAAAATGACCTGTCAGATAGTGAGAAGGAGACAGGAGAGTTAACTCAAACAGCAGAAGGACGATAACAGCCCTGACAGCAGGAGAGGCAGCAGCGGCTCGAGAGACGGGTATTCACTATATATCATCAACAGATTACAGTCTGCACGTCAGGTATCAAACGGTGAAATATGAATTAATAGCCGGCATATAGAGGCAATCACAGCCGCTGAGACAAGTATTACACCCTAGAACAATGAACAGACTAACTCACATGTGGGGCTTTATGCCAAGGTGTGGTATCTGTGAGAAGTAACGAGAATAAAGTCACGGACAGGGTCATGTCAGGAGCTAAATCAATCTCGGTACTAACCACATTTCATGTTGCTTGCAAATCAACTGACGGCTCTGGCAAGTGAACATTAGTTGAAGTTAAATCTATGGCAGGGTTCAACAAATGAAGATAACAGGGGCAGACCTTCAGCACTTTTGCTATACTGCTACAACCCAACTATTTAAGTAACTGTCACTTTGTTATCCCTTTAGGGGGTAAAACACTCCTCTGAATTGCCAGTGCTGTCCTGTTTGTAGACTAACGCCTAGTCCCTGAATATATATATATATATATATAATTTTGATAGCAACAAATAAACCCATTTAAATTGAAAGGAAGCCCCAATGAGTTGGGAGATTTGCTTCATTTAGGGCTTTAGCATTGCAGGGAGGGTTAGTCATTAGGGAACATAATGTGGTTCAGGGACTGAGACAGACAAGAGTGTTTGATTCAAGTGCCTTGTAACACCACTGATAAGTCTGCTACCTCAGACTGCAGTGTGCGAAATGTACGCTGGCCCTGTTGTCCCTGGCTAGTAAAACTTCATCAGGACCATTAAATGATAAGTTTGCAGTGGTCCTGGTGGCCAGTGAATTTTGCATTGATAGTTAAGAAAATCTACGAGTGTTATTTTGGTCGAGTGAGGTACAGACAGGACCACTAATAACTGTCCACTGACACTGGTGCTGTGTCTAGTGGGAAATTTTGAAAGGTTTCTTTCCCTGAGACTTATGAAGTGTATCACTGTAATCGTATAATTACAATGTGTTACTTTTACTTGTTGCAATAAGTGTAATGCCTAGCAGTAGTCCTGGACTGAAACTTGGCATCACACTGTGGAGAAAAGGACCCCATTCTTACCATGTCATGCACACTGGACCACCTCCTTCCTATCATTACTCATGGGGCGGTGGGCTAGCCTAGTGGTTAAAGCGTTCGCTCGTCACGCAGAAGACCCGGGTTTGATTTCCCACATGGGTACAATGTGTGAAGCCCATTTGTGGGGGGTCCCCTACCATGATATTGCTGGAATATTGCTAAAAGCGGGGTAAAACCAAACTCACTCCTATTATTACTCATTCTACTTGTGACTCCCAGGAAAAATATAGGTGGGGGTAAGCGGGATGGGGAAGGCGTGAGCGTAGGAGTGAAGGTCATCTAAATAACCTGTTACTAGTCTACATTTAATGGCCCTTGTGTCGCTCTTTCACTGAGAGAACGATTCTTCATACATAGAAAGGGTGGTGGGGTAGCCTAGTGGTTAAAGCGTTGTCTCGTCACGCCGAAGACCCCGGTTCGATTCCCCACATGGGTACAATGTGTGAAGTCCATTTCTGGTGTCCCCCGCCATGATACTGATGGAATATTGCTAAAAGCGGTTGAAACTAAACTCACTAACTCATACATAGAAAAGTTGGTTATAATAATTGAAATAATTGAATGTGTAGGACACACAACACAGAAACCATTAAAAACCTTTTTACTTGTCCACACTAATGGCAGTTGTCCAGCAGACAAGTATGGTTGTGGTTGGAGAGATAATTAGTGCCCCCAAATTAGTTTTGATCACTTGTTGCACACTTGTTGTGCTACTTCTCCGACAGAACGATTCTTCATAAATGAAACAGTTGATTACGATTATCAGATGTGTAGGAAATATCACACAGGAAATGTTGACTCAAAAATTATGCTTTCCTTTTTGATCAACTGGAAATACCAAAATAGTAATAATATTAATAATAATAATAATAACATAGCGCCTGGTATCCATCTGTCTAGTTGCTCACTGGCGCATATGTAGGAGTCAGTAGAGTGAGAGGGGAATATTGTTAATATTGTAAGCAGTTTTGAACAGAAAAGTTTTGATTAGGCTTTTAAAAGAGGATTCACAGATGGTGGCTTTGAGTTCTGGTGGCAAAGTATTCAATAACTGAGTAAACCAGGATTAAACTTCAACATTGTGTATTTAAATCACCCAGCCCCAGCCTTCAAAGCTACTACTGCTCCTACAGTTCACAATTCTTAATGGTTAACTATGCATTGGGTAATATATATAAAGAAGTTGTACTCATATTATATTAAAGAAGTTGTATACCCATCACCCCAACTTCTTAATCCCGCTCCAGTTATGCATTGGGTAATCAGAGTACTTAAATTTAGTCTTCCTACATATAAATTAGATATATTATCTGGGTTAGTGATTACAATACTAGTGATAAAAGTATATGTAACAAATAATAAGTTTCTAATTTTCCTACTGACTTATTTTGGGGTAAAGGTATTTCCTAATTCAAGAAAAACACATTCTCTCTTCAGTCAATAAAGTAGCCAAACAATGTTTCCCTTGGAAGCAGCTTGATGCACTGGATGTAGATATTACCCCAAATATATGTGTGAGGTTGACTGCTACAAGCCTGGCCAGCCCGATCTCCGGCTCTGTCTGTCTGCACAGGCTTTGTATATTGACAGTGTAAACATTCCTCCACGCAATTAGCTCCCGTGTATTGTGCACTCATGAATCATAATACACACATCATTGTACATCACTCCAGAAATCTCTCACAGTAAAACAATAAACACCATGTTTGCTTAGATGATAAAACTCCAGTCTTAAACCGAACTTGACCGCTTTGAAGTTTATTTGAAAACTGTTGTCAAACTTTAAAATAATAGTATTTCAATTAATGGTTTAAAATAGTGACATGTTTCAAAACAAACAAAGCTTTCTAGATAATTGAGAAATGACTTTCGTCAATTCTCGACATTTTTATGATAATGAACATTTTAAGTATTGATTAAGTTTCAGGGTTCGTCTTTACTTAAACTGCTTAAATTTGAATTTTTTCGTATGAGCGTTAAAACAAGTGGGATCAAAAGAACTTTACATGTTTAAATACAGTCTGCGCCCTCGAGAATAAAATTCAACTTTATTTGAGACGATCACTGTTGAAACGAGAAGTGCGTGCGTGGGGTTTTGTGAATGTATCCAAGTTGTTGGGCATGTCACAAATAGCCGGCGGTTCACCGTAGTTAAATGTCAGTCGATACTGATCTTGCTGACTACACAGTCGACATGACAAGTGGCTATATCTAACAAATTAGCAGTCGGACATGGAATAAAGACAGAAAGAATCACGTACCTTTATCGGACCTAGTAAATCCGTTCTCTACGAGCCACTCAACTCGCAGTGTCTCGGTAGACCAACCCGAGCGGAAATTATTGACGTATTTATAACAGGGCTTTCTATTGGTTCACCGACAATGAAAGGCAACCTCTGATTGGATATATGCATATTGACTTAGCAAACTCCCCCCACCCCTTCATAAAGAGAATCTTGTGGTTTTGAAATAGGTTAAGGCGAAGACAAAGTAAACTTGCGCGTCAGAAAAACTTTCATCACTATCGACCGGGGACAGTAACATGAGATTCAACCTGGATGTAGGGTATGAGGATTAAGAAAAAAACACAACTTTTAAAACATGTTTTTGCACCCAGATGTGTCTCTTACGAACAATCAAATTAGTTAGTATGTGGTTTTGAATATAATCTGTTTGATTGGCATTTTTGAAGCTGACGAATAATAAGAAAGGTAATACTTTATAGATGACAACTTCTTTATTATATCATGTTGCGACGTTTCGATATAGGTTCTTATACAGTTGTCAAGCAAGAGCGAAGTAAAGCATAGAACATATATATACCTCAACAGGGGATCACACCGGGAACTGCAAAATATGGCTTCACGCATTAAGTCTATAGGGGGGAAACAAACCCTGGTCTTCGCAGGGTATGAAACTCCCAAAAATTTCAGCCAGACCACAGGGCTGGTTAGATGTAAAATTTGCCAGCCCTGACCAAAACTTACCTGCCCACACAAAATACTAATTTACTTAGTATGATTAAATAAAAACTTGTAAATAAAATATTGAAAGAGCTAATACCAGTGCAAGAAAAGAATTAACTGTTTATTTTAGATTTGTGTTTAATGCTTGAATTCATGTTATCACTTCATCATGTTTTATTATCCTGAAATATGATGAATATTTTCATATACATGTCTAAATGTTAACCCGAGCGTCCGGCAGGTGAATTTGAGAATCTGGCAGTGCGTGTTGAAAATAACCCGTCCCGGGCGATCGGGCAGGCAGGTATTTCGAACGCTGGTTTTCGTCGTGAGGAGCGAACACTTCAGGCAGCTGCCTACCCTGCCACCCTTTAACCATGATACAGATTGCAGTGTAGTATATCTCCCACGTAGTTTGTACATTTGTGTTGTTCTTGGGTGGATATGAGCATCTGTTTTGAAAATAAAGCAACTATCCAAGAGGTATATCGCTGTAACCCATCATATATTTCATTATTTCAGAGTGAAAATATAGTTTGACGGCTTTTTCAGAATTATTCCAGCGAGATTACGGAAGACCACACCAGAACTCACCCTCTATTATCCAATGTATCACATGTACACATTGCACATCACAAACCACCTCACTGTTCCATGATTGTCAGGATATTTTCTTCATTTTTAACACTAGTAAATATATATTACACTCATACGAGGGTGGCCTTAGAATGGTCGAGCCTGGACCAGACAAACCATGTTGGAGGGTCCCACGTAGTCGGCTTAAAATGACACACAATGGACTGCCTGCCTACCCGAGAGACCCGATCCATTCAGCCGCAACTCACAGAGCCGGTGGGGTAGCCTAGTGGTTAAAGCGTCTGGTGACGCTGAAAACGGGGATGCGATTCCCCATGTTGCGTGAAGCCCATTTCTGGTGTCCTCCACCGTGATATTGCTGAAATACCGCTGAAGGCGGGGTAAAATCATACTCACTGACTCACTCGCCTCTTGCGAACAGCATGTAGGGTGCTTGGAGCAGTTCTAATCCAGAAGGCACACGAGCATTACAACATTGTTGCCATTTTTTATACAGTTGTCAAAATAATTATACAGCGACCCATGCTTCATTTACATAAACCGGGTTCTGAAGGGCTGAAGCAGTGTGGATGTGACGTTCGATTTTACCTCACATAATAAAACTCTTTGACTTTGAAGAAATACACCACGCATTGGCAGGATAGTTGCTAGTGATGCATGTTTGGAAGTGTTCTTTTCCTTATAAAAACATACATGTCGCGTATTCTTATTAAATGGACGACTACCACATTTTGCAATGTTCCCCTGTGGAGCATTGATTGAGGGATTTATTTTATTTATTCAATATTTTTTAAACTCTGCCGCGTGCAAATTTCCGGGTTGGAATTAGCTATTGATCAAACTGAGGGATAGCGACGGCTTGTTACATTTATTTTTCTTTCATTACACTTTTCATATTCGTCTTACGAGTTATCACAAGTGAACTGAAAATAATCTCTCGAGCCAATTCAATCTGAAAACACACCACTAACTTGTCCTCTGTTCTCTATGAAGGGGTGCTCCCGACGTGCCCGTTGTTTTGACAAAATTAATAAATATTTACAAACACCATCAAAATAGAAAGTTACAGCCTTTGAAAGACGGAACGCTACTTCGAGTCACCCCAGTTCGTGCATTATCTCGGAGTTTGACATGCTTGAAATAAGCGATAATCAGCTGCAGGTAGCAACACGCGAATGACAGAAAGCAGCGACCCGCTCACTGTGGGCTGAGCAGACCCGACGGCGATTTATCCTGTGGACAACCTCTCTATCTGTCTAGCCTGCCTGACGATAAACTCGTCTACCGTCTACTTGGACTGTTTATAAAAGGTTCGTCTTGGATCATTCTACTCCTCAAACTGGCCCTGCGTGTAACTTCTATCAGAGGCAGTGCTTGATAACGGTGTTAGAACCTATGGAAACGTCGCTCTCACTGCAACAAGGACTGCATCCATATATTAGGGCAGTGGGGAAGCTTAGCGGTGGCCTTCGCTCGTCACGCGGGTTCGATTCCCCACATGTAAGCCCATTTCTGGGATCCTCCGTCGTGATATTGCTGGAATATTGAAAAAAAGCGGCGTAAAACCATACTCACTCACTCATAAATTGTTACCCTTTCTGGTCCCTCGGCTTGGTGAAGGTTTCCTGTCGTGTTGGTTACGATTCTCTGCTGTGTTAAAGATTGTTGACCAGACAAGCCAGTGATCAATATCATGAGCATCGATCTCCGCAATTGGGATACGATGACATGCCAGTCAGCCTGAATACCCGATCCCGTTAGTCGCCTCTTACGACAAGCATGGGTTACTGAAGTTCAATTCTGACCCGGACCTTAACGGGTTAAAAGTCAGGAACTGAACATGGTAACGAGACAGTCACGTACGTAGTAGCATATGGCTTCAAAAGATATCCAAGTATTCAATACAGACAACAAACAACGTTCGACAAACAAGATCTGTAGCATGTGGGCCAGATGCAGCGGGAAGGTCTGCGATGTTCTAAACAGTGCGGATGTATGCATGAAATAACTCGAACGGAGTGGAAAGTCAAAAGATATGGCAGGAAAATCAGCATTACATGCACAGACCAGGTTTGCTGCACATATATTCAGTGTAATCTACATGAAGATATTTCTCACATTAGGTAAAATAGCTCTGTGGGATATTACAATGCATTTCGCTTCGTATGACAAATGCAGCCCAGATGGTAGATGTGCTACAGCCGTCTTGGTCGAATGAAGTATCAGACGAGACAAAAGTCCTTAGTCTCTGAATATATATAATTTTGATAGTTACAAATAAACCCATTTAAATTGAAGATGGGAAATTCAGAACCTGAGGGAATCCAGACTTGCTTCTATTTAGGGCTTTAGCATTGCAGGGAAGGCTAGGCATTGGGGAAAATAATGTGGTTCGGGGACTGTGAGACAGACTAGGGCAGTTCCAGTGATTACACTGGGCCCTTGCTATTTATTTTATTTCAAGCTTTTTCCATGACAGAAACCGTCCCTACATCGCGACATTCTTCAATAATTGCTTCTGTAAGAACTGTGTACGGCGTAATTACCCTTGTCTACTTCAATCAAACAGGGTACACCCGCGACCATACTGAAAGAAGTGTACATAAAAGCTCGCTCTTATTGTTCTGAATATAATGCACCTTTGACTGTGTGTGGACTGACGAGAGTGTAACTCTGTAGGTGGGATCCGAGACTGCATGTGCCTGGTTGTGTTATGTGTGTTCCAGACAATGTGCTGTATGTGTTCCAGACAATGTGCTGTATGTGTTCCAGACAATGTGCTGTATGTGTTCCAGACCATGTGCTGTATGTGTTCCAGACAATGTGCCCTGAGTGTTCTAGATCATGTGCTGTATGTGTTCCAGACCATGTGCTGTATGTGTTCCAGACAATGTGCCCTGAGTGTTCTAGATAATGTGCTATGTGTGTCATTACCTAACTATGTGTTGCTTGTGTTCTTGACAATGTGCTATAATTGTTCCAGACCAGTTGCAATGTGTGTTCCAGACAATGTGTTATGTGTGTTCTAGACTATGTGTTCTAGACTATGTGTAATGTGTGTTCTAGATGATGTGTTATGTGTGTTCTAGACAATGTGTAATGTACGTTCTAGACAATGTGTAATGTGTGTTCTAGACTATGTGTAATGTGTGTTCTAGACAATGTGTAATGTGCGTTCTAGACATTGTGTAATGTGTGTTCTAGACAATGTGTAATGTGCGTTCTAGACAATGTGTAATGTGCGTTCTAGACTATGTGTAATGTGTGTTCTAGACTATGTGTAATGTGTGTTCTAGACTATGTGTAATGTGTGTTCTAGATGATGTGTTAAGTGTGTTCTAGACTATGTGTTATGTGTGAGCTAAGTGTTATGCACTATGTGTTCTAGACTATGTGTTAAGTGTGTTCTAGACAATGTGTTATGTGTGTTCTAGACAATGTGTTATGTGTGTTCTAGACAATGTGTAATGTGCGTTCTAGACAATGTGTAATGTGCGTTCTAGACAATGTGTTATGTGTGTTCTAGACAATGTGTAATGTGTGTTCTAGACAATGTGTTAAGTGTGTTCTAGACAATGTGTAATGTGCGTTCTAGACAATGTGTTATGTGTGTTCTAGACAATGTGTAATGTGCGTTCTAGACTATGTTACGTGTGTTCTAGACAATGTGTTATGTGTGTTCTAGACAATGTGTAATGTGTGTTCTAGACTATGTTACGTGTGTTCTAGACAATGTGTTATGTGTGTTCTAGACAATGTGTAATGTGCG